CTTTCTGGTCAGCATTCCTACAATAGCTGTGATCAATGATCTATATGCCTCAAAATAGGTCACAGTAGATTAGATCAATTCACTTTTTATCGATACCTGATTACCAGTGTCCCTTCATGTATACCTTTTTTTATCCTTTCTTCTTGAACCATATTCTCAATGCTTAATCTTTCTCACTACCATTGATATTATAATTATTTTGACTGCTTAATTATGGCAGAACGTTGCTTACATATTATTGTGTTAATGTACGTACGGCAATTTAAACTGTGTGTTGATTATGACCGGTTGACAGAATATTCCATCTTATACTAATATGAACAGATAGGGAATTTCACTAGTTTAGATCATGAGTCAATTGAGGCTAGACCATCATGGAAAACCTGGAAGCACTGAACGGCCGTTTCGTCCTATTGTGGGACTTCTCAGAAAATTAACAAAATGAGGAGTAAGAGAGATTAATTTCAATTACAATGGGAATTTAAGCACGAGAATTTGACAGTCTACATGATGAAAAGTTGACTAAAAGTTTGTAGAAAGCTAAGTAGAATGAGTGCAACTGTGCCATGATAACAAATTTCGCGCTTTATCAGTCAAAGTTTCAAGATAAAGAGATTAAAAATTTTGTTAGGTGGGCCTCATATCCAGGAAGTTTGAACCTACCGAAATGGTTTAGATCAGTATTCTATGAACTGACGTCACATCTTGGGGTTGTGTAGAAGGTTTAGTTGTGAACAATGAATTAAGCATTGTGCAAGTGTTCATAGGCGTCCTCTTAATCATAACTGTCACGTTGACTGAGGATGGACGGACGGATAGACAGACAGATATTACTAACACAGAGCCTGGCCTAAGTTGCCAGACCATATTAAGATGACGAGACAAAAATAGCAAGAGAACAAATTAATGTAGTAGCGATGGTAAAAAGAAAGACTAAACCTTGGGGATATGGATTGAAAAAGATAGGATGAAAAGTTATTCATGAATAAATATTGGTGCTCAAAAACTAGAAGATAGGAAAAAAATTTATGTGCTTTCGTGTGATCAATTCTGAGCCATGTCACACTTCTCCAACCTCTGATCGCAATTATCACTTCGATCCCAACCAAATAGTTTAAATCTACGAATATGACACAGACCAACAGTCAACAACTTCATGAACTGATGTCACGTTTTGATTCGGACACTTTTCCTTACAACCTACTTCTAAACGTATCGAGTGAAGATTCACTACTTCACTAACTGATTTGTCATCTTTATCAATTACCTCAACATGACTACTTATTCGATCATTTCACAAAATGTGAACAAAGGTATTTACGGTTGAAAAAAAAACACAACCCATTAGCCTACAAATGTCTCACAGAATTAATCACTATTCATAGTTTAACAGATTAATCTTTGAATAACAGACAAAATGTACATTTTTAACTACAAAATGTATTTGTAATGTTTTCAATGAAATATATGTAACTTTCTTCTTGGTGTTGTTGTTCTCTCCATAGTTTATTCAAAAAACAAAACAAGAAGAAACCCAATTTAAATTATAAATAACTATCTAATTATAGAATATAAAATGAGTTGCTAGATGAATGGTGAAGCACACTTTTAATGTATAAAGTATCCATTTAAGTGATTATTAAAATGATTGACTAGAGTAGTGATGGTGAAGGGGGGGTGGAGAAGGAGAAAAGAAACAAGGGTAATGACGTAAACATAAAGATATTACATATATATTTAAGCATATGATTCAAACTATTTTAATTGTGTGCATTTTTTTTGGTAAAAACATTTTGGAAAATGAAAAACAAACAAGCAAAACTTATGAAAATGGAATGTACCTTTTTAAAACATGTAAAATAAAGATGATAGACTATGAAGTTATTATTATTATTATGATTCTGAAATGAAATAAATGAATTAAACTGGAGACAACTAAAGAGAGAAAATCAATCAGAAGGGGTTGTTTTGTGGATAGTATAGTAATTTTAATAGTTAAGATTATGAGTCAATTGAAGCTAGACCACTATGAAAAACTTGGAAGCACTGGGTGGCCGTTTCGTTCTACTAGTATGGAACTCCTCAGCGATGTGCATCCATGATCCTGTCTCGTGAGATTTGAACACAGGACCTATCGGTCGCGTGCGTGAATGTATAACCTCTTAACGATTGAACAGGCATCTAGTGGTGTTATTGTCTAACTTCAACTAATCCACGAAATTGAGCAACACATCCACCATTGTTTTCAGTGAGTTACTATCTCATAAAAGACCAGGTTGAACTCCACTGGTCACTGTTTCTTACTAGAACTCTAGGAAATACCTCTTGAAGTCAGTCACTAGTAAGCATATGCTGATTAATATCAGAAGGGGCTTTTCGGATATTATAGTAATTTCAATAGTTGCGATCATGATTCAATTGAAGCTAGACAACCATGGAAAACCTGGATATCATTAATAGTAAACGTTTCGACTTTTTACTGAAATTTGATTAGTCTTAGTTGAAATATGTGCATTTTGTGCGAATTATCTTAATAGAGCCATTATATCATATATATAGGGAACAGATGGATTGTAGTTAGAAGTGGAGTTTAACATGCAAGTTTTGTCCTGTCTTAAACTCTTCAGTTGAATTCATTAGCTCAACAGATAATGTGTTGATGTTTGAAGCGAAACAATAGTATCCGGTTCGAGTTTCAGTGTGAATATCAACAATGAAATGTATGCACATCCAGTTGACAAGTTTCAAACAAGACAAAACACGTATCCACCTCAAACCATAATCTATCTCTCTTCTAAAACTAGTAGAAAAAAAATTTAGTTCATCAACTGATACTATACATAGATGATACAACCTATTGAAAAGTGTTTAGATCAAAGTAGTTAGCAAAATCAGACATTGTATATAGAGAAACTATTTTTTCTCACAAACAAAACACAACGAGGAACAAATGTGATAACATAATTGCTGATATGTTTTAGGCAATAAATTATAGTTTATAACTTAAGGGATAGATTAATTCCATTATCATAATCATCCCTAGTTCTCCACATCAAAATCAACTGGTGTAATCTAGGGTTAAAGTTAATACCTTCACTACAAAATTCATTTCAACTCATCGAAAATAACTGATTAAGCCAGTCGAAATCAGATTCGAATTTGAAGTAGGACAGTGTTAAAAACACAAGTCAAACTCAATAATCTTCACGATACCTTATAGTTATACGCATCATGTGCTTACTAGTGACTAAATTCGAGAAGTAAACATCTGGGTTCTAGTGAGAAGTCATGATCAATGAAGTTTCAGCTAAGTCAGGGGGGGTGAGGCAATGGAAGATAGTCACGAAATATCATCACTTGACCGAAGTTACCAATGTTAAGCCATTAGGTGACAACTTAGTAATCAGGAGGTTAGGTGGTCGCTACAATGTCTAACGACTTTGGATTTGATCCCCGGTGGGGACTTGGACTGGTATTAATGAAGAAATAGCTATCTAGTGCCTCCTAGTTTCCAACGGTCGTTTAATAAAAATAATTCAGTTGTATGATACTTCATTATAGACTATTAGATATTTATGTATATATCAAATTTATTTGAAAGCTCAACCTACAATCGATTAAATAAAGGCAAAATGGTAAGTAAAAGTAAATTTGTAAATTGTAAATAAAATAATACTGAGTATGTGAAGTTTTATGTTAGACAGAAAAGTTTGTGAGCCATTTTATGGGGGAACAGCATATGGATACAGACAATTACATATACATACATACATACATACATACATACACCTAAACCATTGTACACGAGCAGAACATGGAGCCTGGAGTAACAAGGTAATACTGGAAAGTGGAATTCTCATTTCACATGATGAAAAAAACACTACACAGTGGTTGAAAGATACGAACAACAACTTAATTAGATAGAATAAGAAACATTTACTGTGTAGAAGTATATATACATATGTGTCAGTGTGTACATGTGAGTATGGTCTATGTGAAGAGGATAACGACTAGTCATGATTATTATATCGTTACTAAGTAGAAAATACGAGATCACATCAAAACAATACTACATACCAAACATTCTTTATATGCAATTTTTATTGATGATGTGTACTGAGAATTCCATACTGCACTGAACAAATTATTATTGCAACTAAAATATAGGCAATTAAAGACGCGATTCATTTTATGGTAATGAGTAGGGGTGTCTTCGAAGCATTGATCGTATATCCTCGGACTACAGAGTAAGTAATGCAGTTGTTAGAAAACGGGTACTAGGTAAGGATGGAAGATCAATTGATGAAGTAATGGAACCTCATCAGTTGAGATGGCTGGGACATGTGTTACATATACCTAACCACCGACCGCCCCGACGAGCGATGTTTCATGGTGGAGTAGGTTGGAAAAAAGTTAGAGGCGGCCAGACCAAAACATGACACAAATCCATGAATTCACTGACAAGTGGACTGAGCCGTGTTGGTAGATGTAGACTACCTGGTTGGGATCCGTGAGATAATAGCAACCGGTGGTTAGAGACCTTAAGTGATATGGCTCAAAATCGTTTGTAATGGCACAGGTGCATCCACTCTTTGTGTTCTCTTCCCAAATTTATTTCACTGGATTATACTCCTTGAATAACATCTTCAAACCCTAATCTATCGGATTACTGCTTACACTATTACTACCTTTATCATTATGGGATTTGAATCGACAGTTGTATCTATGTGCTAATGTGGTATGGCAACTCGAACTGATGTACGTACGTACGAAATTCTACGTTGTTACTGACTGACTTTGGATATTACAAATATATTATTTTTATCTATAACCATCTGCCCAATGCTCAATTTATTTAAAATTATCAAGTCGAACCTTGGCAATGATATTTAACATAGGACAATTGAGATGGACGGGTGGGCAAACTAAGACGTGGCACCAGTTCGTGAGCTATGTTGATGGTATAATGAACGAGAACACACATGTGGAGATACAAAATTACAGAGTTCTTTGATAAAATGTGAAAACTATACGTCCAAAACTTCATTTGAAAATCCTCCATCGAATGTCTCAAACTTCATCATTTACTCATCATCATAACAATTACTCTCTATTCCCGTTCTTTTCGATTCAATCTTCCTAGTCTTCTGTTGTCAAGCATTCCACTTCTGACTTGTGTTATATACTATTTATGTAGACATGAGTAACATACACCACAGTGGTAAATCCAGACTACTAGGTTTAGGAGACGTTAAGTGAAGTGGTTCATGATCGATTACATTTACTTTTTGTCGCATTCTAGGTCTTGAGTTTCAATCATTGTTCAATGAATACCTTTGTATTCATTCTTCGTAAACTATATTCTCTGAATTTAAATCATTTATGTTCTTATTGTTATTACAATTATTTTGATTTCTTTATTATTCCTTCTTTTGTTTTTAGTTTCATCTTATTGTACTTAAGTGATAGATCATACTCATAATTGTTCCATATTCAACATTAATTATGACAAACTGTTTACAGTTGACGATCAAAAGTTATTAATCGTTCTTGTATATAAGAAAGGAAACAGAATAGAAGAAGGAACTAATTATTGGAATATATATATTTTTCCCTATGAATAAAAGAATTCCCTATTGAATTCTAATAAACTGACAGGTATTCAAATCAAGTAATTATCATGACACACATTCAGACGCCCCACAATGGTAGTATTTCTCGACCTTAAGGCGGCATTCGACTCTGTTGATCGTGAGGTTCTATGGCAGTGTTTGTCACTGAAAGGAGTACCAAAGAAGTACATTAACCTTATAAAGGCTCTCTACTCGAACACAACTGGTAGAGTGAGAGCTTATGGCGAACTGTCATCACAATTGATTACCTCAAGTGGTGTTCGTCAGGGCTGTCTACTCTCTCCATTCTTGTTTAACTTTGTCGTTGACGTGCTTTTAGAGATAACACTCTCCTCATCTAAATTTCCAGGGGTTGAACTTCTACCAGGAGATTCACTTGTTGACCTGGAATATGCCGATGACATAGTTTTATTTGGTGAAGACGCTGACAAAATGCAGAGTCTTCTGACCACTCTAAGCAACAATGCAAGCATGTTCGGGATGCGATTCTCTCCCTCGAAATGCAAAATGTTGCTTCAGGATTGGGTTGCATTGACACCCGAACTAATGATAGGGAGTGAAGTAGTCGAGCGTGTCGACCGCTTCACTTATCTTGGAAGTCTCATCAGCCCTTGTGGTCTGGTGTGTGACGAAATCTCCGCACGGATACAGAAGGCTCGACTAGCTTTTGCCAACTTGCGTCATTTATGGCGTAGGCGAGATATCCGTCTATCAACCAAAGGACGTGTTTACTGCGCAGCAGTTCGTTCCGTCCTACTTTATGGCAGTGAAACATGGCCGGTAAGAGTAGAGGATATCCGTAGGTTACTAGTATTCGATCATAGGTGTCTTCGAAATATTGCTCGTAGATCCTGGGACCATCGAGTAAGTAATGAAGTTGTTAGAAAACGGGTACTAGGTAAGGATGGAAAATCAATTGATGAAGTAATGGAACCTCATCAGTTGAGATGGCTGGGACATGTGTTACATATACCTAACCACCGACCGCCCCGACGAGCGATGTTTCATGGTGGAGTAGGTTGGAAAAAAGTTAGAGGCGGCCAGACCAAAACATGACACAAATCCATGAATTCACTGACAAGTGGACTGAGCCGTGTTGGTAGATGTAGACTACCTGGTTGGGATCCGTGAGATAATAGCAACCGGTGGTTAGAGACCTTAAGTGATATGGCTCAAAATCGTTTGTAATGGCGCAGGTGCATCCACTCTTTGTGTTCTACCAATTTCTAATCTTCTGAATTCTTTATATCCCTTTCTTTTTTCTCTTCCCAAATTTATTTCACTGGATTATACTCCTTGAATAACATTTTCAAGCCCTAATTTTTCTGATTACAGCTTATAATTTTACTACATTTAGCACTACGGGATTTGAATCGACCACAGCATCTCTGTGCTAATGTGGTGTGGCAACTCGAACTGATGTACGTACGTACGAAGTTCTACGGTGTTACTGACTGACTGATTGAATTATCATGAACGAACTACTTAATTGAATTGTCTGAAAGAGTAAATTATAAACAGATTAAATGATTATTATCATATCCATATGATTACCATTACTACTATTATTATATCATCATTACCATTATTAAACGTCAGATGATGGATGAAAGTATGAGATTGATTGTCAATCATTAATTAATTAATAATAGTGGTAGTAGCAATAATAATCACAGTAACAGTAATGATAATAATAATTATTATTACAGTTATAATAATAATTTAATTCAATGTCATATATTTAGTAAATTAAGGGACATTAAGTGTCAGTCAGTTACAACGTAGGACCAGGCACACAGATACATCGGTCCAAGTTGCCATACCCCATTAGCACAACAAGATGAACACCGAATTCATAGAAGTAGTTAATTCAATAGTGGTAATATATAAAATAAAGATTGCATATAAGGATAAAATACAACAAGAACGAATTAGTTCGTAGAAATAAAGATAGAAAGTAATTCTAATCTCATGGTTTAGAGGGAAGACAAATAGTGTATACACTTACACCATTGTAATCGATTCGGAACCACGTCACACACAGTCTCCAACCATTGGTTACGATAGTCACACGGACACCAAACAAGTAGTCTGCGTCTGCCAACATTGCTAAGATCAGAAGTTAGTGACTTCAATGACTGATGCCACGTCTTCGTTTGGCCGTCTCTAACTTTCTCCCAACCATCTCCAACACTTGTCAGCATTGCGCGTCATGGTAAATGGTGTTCAGGCATACGTAACACGTGGCCCAACCATCTCAGTCGATGAAGATTAACAACCTCATCAACTGATTCACCATCATTCCCTAACACCCTGCGTCTAACCTCACCATTACTTATCCGGTGATCTCAGCAGATGCAAGCAATATTTCTAAGGCATCTGTGGTCAGATACTAGTAGCTTACGAATATTTTCAACTCTTAATGGCCACATTTCGCAGCCGTAAAGTAGAATAGAACGAACTGCCGCGCAGTATACTCGGTCCTTCGCTATAGTTGACGTAAGTTGGCAAAAGCCAAACGAGCTTTTCGATTCCGTGCTGAGATTTCGTCGGACACCAACCCATTAGGACTGACAAGACTTCCGAGATAAGTGAAGTTGTCGATGCGTTCGACTACTTCATTCCCTATCCTTAGTTTAGGTGTTGACGCAGGCCATTCCTGGAGCAACAATTTGGACAAAATGTACAATATCTCGAAATTCTTCGCAGCACTAGAGTCATCACTCAAAACTTCCAGAATAAGTGAGGAAACGAAACAAGAAATAAGGCAAACTATAGTACCGTTAACTCAATGGATGAAAAAAAACAACCAACTGACCCCACAAGAACAAAAAGATTTGAAGGAACTCAGAACTGGAAAGGATATCGTCATAGTTCCGGCGGACAAAGGACGCACCACAGTGATTATGGACAAAGAAGAATACGTCGAAAAAGCCGAGGAACTAATTGAGTACAAAAGCGCATACAAACTGATGGACATAAATCCAGTCAAAAGGCTAGACAACCGAATCTCAAAGACTTTAAACAAGCTCATCAAAGCAGGAAAAATAACAAAGCAAGATCAATGGAGAATGAAATCCAATGGACCAGTGCTCCCTCGATTCTACAGCAGGCCGAAAATACACAAACCAAACATCCCACTACATCCAATCGTGGCACTTCCCGGAACACCAACGTACAATTTGTCAAGAGAAATCTCACGAATATTAAAACATTTGGTGGATTCACCCAACCACTCCATCAAATCTCCCAAACAATTCCTTGACCAGATTAAGAACATTCAAACCAACGACGACGAGCTGATGATATCTTTCGATGTAACAGCGCTATTCACCTCAAATGAACTAAACTTAGCAAAGGAAACTCTATCCCTGCTTCTCAACAACGATGCACATCTCGCAAAGTACACGAAACTCCAAGGTCAAAGTTTACTAGAACTCATCGATTTATGCTTAACAACATATTTTCAATTCAACAACAAAATCTACGAACAAACAAAAGGGACACCGATGGGAATAGAATAAGTATTGCACACAAACCAACAAAATCCCTACAATCAATCCTATGCAAACCAAAAGATGAAATGACAAAAGAAGACAAACCAAACATCATCTACAAAATAAATTGTGCCAACTGCGAAAAAACACTACATCGAACAAAGCGGACGCCCTCTTCATGTTCGCCTGGATGAACATCAATTAGCAGTCAGACGCCATGACATGTGCTCACTTATATCAATGCACGTGGACAACTGGACACACATTCGACTGGAAAAATATGGGGATTTTGGGTAGAGGCGATTCCGAAAACATCAGAGAATTTTTAGAAGCTTGGTGCTCAGATCAATCAGCAATAAACAAGCACATTGAGATCGATCCAATTTATCAACCAACCAGGAAAATTATGCTCAAACATAGGAACAAAAATCAAACCAACGGGAGATACAGCCAAAACAAAGAAGTAAACAATGACAGGTTTAATGTTAACAAGAACCAATCAACATCGAGGTGTACAGGACAAGCTGTGAACCATATGTGGGGAAATTCGAACACTGCACTTCTACCTGAAGTTTGTGCTGATGATGTCGTCCAGAAGAACGATGAAAGCTCCACTACCAAACCATCCAGCTCAGAGAACAATACTTCATCAAATCATCCATCTGAGCTACGAATCTTCTCCACGATCTCAGAAACAGTTATTTTTGTTAACTTGTGTTTATTCATGCTGTGACATGTTTGATTTATTTAATTTATCAAATTATCTAATTTAGTCAAAAATCCCTAGTCAGCGATGATGTTAGTCAATGGATTTTTTCGCATCAGATCTACACGCACATACATACATACAACTGTTATCTTAACACAATTTTCTCCCCTTTTCATACCACATTTTTCATACTCACTATAGTAAATTCTTATTTTCAGCATTGTTAACATGATCGGATGACTGGTTTAGTACACACAGTTAACCGGAGAACCATATAATCATTTATATTCGATGATTTTAGTGTTTGATTAAATTTCCCTGAAAATGCTTGAGCCAAATTGTCAAGCGAAATGTTAGATTTCATTAAAGTTTAATTTCTGAGATTCTTTACGTACATAATTTTCTTAATGTCTTACACGAACTCGGACCCCAACTACCGTGAAACTATTCGTTCGAACCTAAAGAAAAGTTCTTATGAAAGATATAAGTTCGAATCCCACAGGAAGTATCACTTCGATTAAGAATAGAGCTACGCCTTGATGATAAATGGCAAATAATACAAAAATCAGATCAAGGAGGGTTTCTTTTCGACTACTTTTAAACCACCTAGCAAGTCGACATGGTGCAAAGGATGTTGAATCGCTTAGATTAACGACCACATTGTAACTTGATCGATAAAATTCGATCAGAACTAAGAAAGAGTAGAGAAACGTAACTTTGTTAAGTACTCGGTAATTAATCATTTGTAAAGTTATCTTATAAATCACTATAATTAGGATAATATTAGCTGATATAATGTTTATTCAAAGTGGATTTAACAATTTCTAACTTGTATTTATAATCACACTATGCATTAATACAGATTGAATTACATCTATGTTATACATTACTTACATAAATCACATGTGATAATATCAAACAACTCTTCTCATCAATTGGTTCATTTGTGATAAACGATTTAAAAACGTGTAGGTATTATATACACATATGAACGTGTGTAATTAACTTTTAGTAAAGAGATATTTCTGTTTAGTGCTATTTTTTAGCAAGGTTATTTTCTACAGAGAATCCTGGTGGGCGGCCTATGCTACTCCATAAGGGGTAACAGGCATAAGCAAGTAAGAAAATATTTCAGAAACCGTTTAAATTGTATTGTTTGTGTTTATGAAAGGTCCAAATAGATATGAAGTGAGAACGCACAACAGATTAGGAAGAGGAGAGGAAGAATTCTTACGCCCTGCTTTGGAGTCATTATAGTGAAAAACTGTTAAACTGTACAACATACTTTGTAACGAATTTCAAAGTTTCATGAATCCATAATAAAAGAAATAAAGTAGATATGAATATATACAGGCAAGTGGAATTTAATACTTGGCAGAACTAAACTTTACGTCGAAGTGGATTGACAGGAGTTGCAGCAGGTTGAAAGAAAGTTAAAAGGGCGAAACCAAAATGTAGTATCAGTCTATGAAGTTGCTAGCTTTTAGTATGAAGTTGTGGAGATTGTTGAGCTTCATTGAAATCACGAGTTGATCTAAACTAGATCACCATTGAAAACCTGGAAGCACTAGACAGTCGTTTTGTCCCAGTGCAAAACTCCTCAGCAGTAAGCATCCAAGATCCTATACGCAGGACTCTAACTCAGGAACTCTGGTCTCGTGAGAACACTCGACCTCTAGACCAGAGTCGGGATCCCACGGAGTTAATGTCTAACATCAACCAATCGTGGATGAGCACCGCTGACGGGCCCCACACTAGGACGAAACAGCCGTCCAGTGCTTCCAGGTTTGCAAGAGTGGTCTGATATTGATCGGTTCATAATTTTAATGAAAGTTGCTAACTCGTTGAACTGAGTCATGTAGGTGTAGGTACAGACTACTTGTGGGTGAACATATACCAAAATGGTTGCAAAATCAGATGAATTCCAATGGTGAAATAAGACCACAGGATAGACAGACATCATCATCCATTGCGAAACATTTGATTGAGACGGGTCATAAGGTTGATATCAAATCAGCATTTGTTGTGTTGTACAAAAGCCTTCAAGGACATATACTAAGGTTTATTGAAGCCTTGGCTATACGAAAATTGAAACCCCCTTTATGTGTTCAAAAACAATTTGTACTTACACTTAACCTACCCTGGTAGTACTGATTTACTGTCCAGAGTGGTAATCACATTTGTTTTTGTGTACTTAAATATTTTTTCCTTTGTTATGACTT